TTTCGGCTATGTGGAAGTTTGAAATCAATGCTCACCTAATATTTTCTGTTTTTCGAATTATTCAACCATTGAATTGAAGTTATCCAAGTTCTCGAGATTTTGCAAAGAAATAGAACACTCACCGCATCAAAAATGTTCAACGGGAAAGGTTCAAATATGATTCAAAAGTTTTCTTTACTCGTCTCCGTCACTCGAAAATCGGACCAAATTCGGCAAGTTGCACCCCCGCAGTCATTTTAAAACTGACATTAGCAAAATACATTTCTGGATAAATAACATAGGCTGGAAGCGATTGTTATAAATATGTGGAGAGAAGTCGAAAATAAATGAAATTTCCAGACAATTTAAAGGCACATGTATATTTTCCCAATCTGTCTTTCAAATTTTTTTAAAACCGCATCAAGGGAAACTTCTATTGATTTTTTTTTCGTGCGGTAAATGGATTAATAGCCAAAAGGCCTCCAGAAAATTCGAGTTAGGGAGGGTTTTAATGCAATGCTTTTGCGGGAATTCATACATCAGTAGGGACTTTAAAACAAATCGTTCAGCAAAGGGAGGTATTCAACTTTGTTAGAGTATTAGGGAGAGGTTCGAGTTATCGAGGTTCAACTGCATGTACTGTAAGTATTATCGTGCTCGAATAAAAAGAGGTCATTTCGAGACGAGGGGGCGGGGTGGAGGAAGCCTGCCAAAAAAAAAAAAAAAAAAAAAAAAAGAATAAAAATGTGGAACCAAGTCCCGTGCACCAAAAAGAGAGTGTTTTGTATGTTTCGTTCTTGGTAGTGATGATTTCTTGCAGACGCGCCACATGCACCCACTGATGCGGTCCGCCAGCGAAGAAGCCCTGCCGATGGCCGTGGTGACCAAGTCCGGCCCGACCGTGACCAGCAGCGCTGTTCGTTCAGTCCTCGTGCCGCCTCGGGTCAACGGGTCCATGCACTACGACAGCAGCAGCCCCGAACCCACTGCGTCGCCCACGCCCCACGCTGCCCCGCGCTACTACCCATCGCCGCCGTCAGACGAAGCCGGTTCCGAGAGCTATCAAGAGTCCTACGAAGACGGACTGTCCCTGCCCGCCACTGCCAGCGAGGAGTCGGCCGAGGGACGCTACGGGGGCGCCGGACATCAGCCGCCGGTCGGCGTGGACCCGGACTTGCTGCTGGGCTCCGCCACGTCCGGCTCCGGCTCCGCGCCCACCACCGGCTCCTCCGCCGGCACTTCCGGCTCGTTTCCGGAGTACCACCACTGACGTTTGCCTCGCGCCTCTGGCAACGCGATACCGCACTACTCCCCCACGCTCTACCCGCTGTCCTCCGCGCAGATCTCCGCCTTCCAGCAGTACAAATAACCAACTCATCCCCGACTCATTAACTCATCATCATCATCATCATCATCATCATCATCATCATGAGCAGCACTGATTTCCTCACCTATACAGAATACACTGGATTATGCAGTAAAATCGCGTTACAACAAACTTCGGGGCCTCATTCAGAGAAAAAGTGTGTTATTATTGTAACTGAATATTTGTCACATATATAGCGATATTCTCAAAGTTTATCATGACAAAAATAATGTTCACTTCAGACCTGCTTATAATGAAATAAATTTTTCTTTTCTGGCACTCTCAGATTGTTTCTTATCGTTTGAATAACTGTGGGATCTTTTGAAGAAGAAACTAGCTTCCATCAGTCATTCTACCAGTTTCACAAATATATTCATTGTCTGCATTCTGGGTGATGGATGGTGTGTGAAAACACTTGTAATTATGTTTGTCATTGATTACAGCTTCTATCCGTGCTACATTAAGAAACAGGTGTCGGTCACAATTGGGATTGGAAATTTCAGACTGTGCCTGCTTCAGTCAGAAAATGTGCTCCTGGAGAAGAAATAAAATAACATTCCTCAAAAAGTTGTTTATATTGGAATTGCAAGTTTTTTATGATAGGATTGTTTTAACGTTTGTTCTAAGAGCTTTCTGTTGGGGCTTGAGAAAAGTTTGTTATATTGAACATTTTATTGTAAAGGCCTATTTGTTGTGATGAGATTTTACTGCAGAAACTTTCATGTTTGAGAACGTGCACAGCAGATTTATCCTGTATTATACATGACAGTCAAATCTCTTTGAGTCATGCACAGAGGAAACCCACAGAAAATAATTGAATTTGCGAAGTTTCTGAGGTCCGAAAACCTGCATTTTTCATGGAGAAAAGTTGGAAAATTACAGTGAATTAAATATTGAACCTCTCTTCGGAATTTTTTTTCCTTTTTCAGTGGAAAAATTTCAATCCCTCATAATATTCATCATTTTTCTGCCGAAACGAATCTTCAAGAATGCATTTGGAATTTTGTTAATACTTCATGAAAGGATGAGCAAGTTTTTTCCTTTTTTTTTTTTGCTATGACGAAAACATCATCGTTTAAAATAATACTGAGAAACTTAAATTAATGTTCGCAGTCGGTCTTATTGACGGATATAAATCGTATCTCAATGAATCCCATTTTCTCTCTTTAAAATGTCAAACGAATTACGTCGGGCAAATATCGCGTCTTATGAAAGGCCAAGTTGACCAGTAACAAATTATCGATAATGACAGACGACTTTCACAATTTTTTACATTACAACGGAGGCACAAAGTCAAAGCGCACACTTGTACGAAATTTAGAATTTGTAACGGATTTTTAACTCGTCAAATGGACTCGAAAATGCCGTAAGAATTTTTTCTCCGAGTTCAAAACTTCATTCAACCAAAATGAATCTTCTCACACAGTCCGAAAACTGATGCCTTCAACTGGGCGTTTTGCAGAGTGCGGAAAATGTTTCTGTTTATATATGAAGCTGTAGTTCGAGCTTGAGAACCCCCTTTTTGTCCCGAAACCCCTCGTATCCCGTTGCCAGAGGTCGCAGATTGTTGAAAGTGTTCATGCCTAAGAAGTATTCTCCTTCTTGGAAGCTCTCATCACCCCTGATTGTTGATGGCCACAAAGTGCTCATGTTTAGGGTGTGAGATGATGGTGTTCCTCTTTTCTTTCCTTACATTCATTGAGAAGATAATAATCCGACCTTTGGTCTCTTTTTTTTCGATTCCTCTCGCCTTTTGCTGTGGTTTTTACGGATCTCAAATGAATTGAATGTTCGCTGGTGTTGAAAAAAAATTGATGTGCATCGGCACGCTTTGCTGTTGGCCCTTGATGCTCAGCGTCCCAATTTCTTTTCAAATATCCTCGTCATCTTACATAAGCCAGAGCTCAAGCATCCTTTTTCTTTTTCTTTTTTTCTTGTGGAGCAAGACATTCAGTGTGTCTTGAATTTACGTCACCGGAAGAAATTATTTTTTTGGCCCGAGTTGCTGTAGGTGCGAAGGAAAAGGAAGTTAGTTTAGGTGACATCGGAATACGGAGGAACAACTTTTTTCGACGAGCTGATGGAAAGGGTCTTGCTTAGCTATATATTCTCACGACACTGGTTGAAGCAGCCTTTCATGTTACCGATTTTTTCTGCAACTGCTCACAGCATCATCATGGAATTGAATCGGTTTTCTAAATGGGTGTACGTGAGCTTTTTTTTCCGGAGCGTATCCTATTTTTCGAAAGGAACGTGTGTGAAGAGAATTTTGAGTGGGACTGCTTGTGAAATTTGTGTCATCTTAGGCGGAAAAAAATGAATCGTTAGATCTGAGCGAGATTCCTCTGGATGCATCAGCGAAAGTTTTTTCTTTCGATTTGTTGTTTCTTTTCATTTTTCAAGGCGCAAAGGCTGGTGAACATTTGATTTCGTTGCAAAAAAGCGCACCTGGTGGCAGCCATGACCTGTGTAAGTCCCGCGATGTCACGAAAACGACCGAGAAAAAGAAAGTTTTCCTTGGCATTTACGCGATGGATCCGTTTGCGAGGTTTTCAATCGATTCGTTATTTCTCTCCACTGTCTCGTATGTGAAATTATGTTTTCTCTTTGTTTGATTGAAGAACGAATCGCGAGTCGGTTTTGAGAGAGGAAGAGAGCGAGAGAGGGAGAGAGAGAGAGAAAGAAAGACACTTTGGAGTTTTTGAGTTTGTTTTTAAGCGCGATCATGATCTCGGATGATGTTCGAAGGATCCCGTGAATCTTGTCAGCGTTTCTTGTGTTCTTGCTTATGAGTTGGAGAAATTCCTGTCGGAGGAGGAGAAGTGAATGAATCGAAATCTTTCTGGGGATTTTATTTGCATTGATTTTCTTTTATTCTCACTTTTACGTATTTAGTTGTTATAGCTAATTATATTGGTTCCCTGAGAGCGGTAATAAGTCCAGAGTTTAATTTCTGGAATCATTTTACATCGATGGAAAATTATAGCGACTATAATAACTAATGACGTACTGTAATTTATACCAACTGATTATTTATTATTTCTTGGCTATAAATTGAATGTTCAAACCATTTCAATCAAAAAGAAGGTTTTGTTTTCATAAGATTTCATAATCAAGATGATTAAATACAATTTACCTGCTATACGTTGGCGTGTTCTGTGAATTTGCCTGTCAATAATAAGTGCTACCAAGAATTTTTTGTTTCATTTCTGTGACTATCTTGTGGATGTGTTAACCGTCTCCTATCTATAAGGAGTGTATATTTTTGAATTTTTATTATTATTATTATTATTAAATGTAAATTTTGCGAGCATGTCGCTTGATAGAGGGATAGAAGATCTTCGGGTCAAGGTTGAAATAATAAATAACCGTCATACATTGAATAGAGGCTTGCTTCAGGTTTCATAATACTGATCCCAAATGGCTTGGATATTTCTGAATCAGAAAGTTGGATACCGAAATCAATTTATTTCAAGGTTCAAATGAAGTGTTCGGAAGTATAAATGCCAAAATTAGATTGCAATAAATAAGGGATTTTTCGGTTTTTTTTAGTTTTTCTTAGATTATCGAATTTTAGTGATCATCGTCCGAATAATAGGTCCGACATTTTTCAAAAGAATTCAGTTCAGGTGTATCCTAGTATTAATACGATTTATATTTTTTTTAAATAAAAATACTCCTTTATTCCAATACAGTATACTGTTCACACATTTTTTAATATTTGGTGGGTTATCGCACGTTATTCGAATTTTGCACGTGCAAGTTTTTCTTTTCCGTGAATTCAAGAATTGATCAAGATGAAAATAGCCGCGGAGGACTGCATTGAAATTTTAATTTACTTTGCTTCATGGTAAGGATGAAGCTGCATAATTCTGAGCTTTTTTCTGTCAATTTTTGCTGGAAATAATAATTCAGATCGATGAATAATTTTTGGGCTTCCGAAATACTGTAATAAAATTTTCTCGCGGAAAAGAAAAGACCAAACGATGAATTCTGAAATGAGTTGAGCATAGACCGTTGAATCAGCAGAGGCAATTGAAATAACCACCATGCAACTTTAGCATCATTTGAAAGTCATGTCCTCGAAGCCGTGAACTTTGAGCAGCTCCGCCAACTGGTCCCGCACAGCACGGTACTTCGCACATGCCCTGTGCAACGTGTCCCCCGGGAAAACCTTCTCATTATAAATGTAAGTATCGTGCCAGTACTTCTTGCCCTTGTGCATGCTCAGGAGAACCCAGGCTGCCTTCTTTATCAGCCACGGGTGCAAGTGTCCCAGTGTCGCCTCGTAGCCGCTGTGGAGGAAATTCTGCCCGGGTTCCTCGGGGTCGTCGCGTTCATCGTACAGCCTCACGATCCATGCTATTATTCGAGGAATGGAATGAGGGAAACAAATGAATGAAAATTCTGCATGCACGGCACACCGGAATTCCAATATCTACCTTTTCGCATTTTTATATCCCCTGGGGGGGGGGGGGGGTCCGTTGCGTAATACTCTTGTATATCTTATATATATGAAAGGATTCGGCTATTTTTTTCGATTTCGACCGCAAGGGTTTGCATTGGGAATTCAATGGAAAGTGGGTTTTCTTTTTTGAAAAAATTTAATAATTAGATTGCAGCTCATGAACTCCCATGATTGGGTAAATAACTTGGATAAGTTATATGCTTATTCGTACATTTTTGAAGGTACTTTTGGTGTACGAAACTTGTCTAAAGCTTGAGAGGAGGTGCCTCAGTTTTAAAGGAAATTCGTCATCATGACTTTGACTTGGGAATACGGATTATTCCGGCATGGCATTTATATTCATCGTGTTACAACGATGGCTAATTTTGAACGTAGTCTTGGAGAATCACTGTCAATCGGCCTCATATAAGAGTCAGTCATTTACAATCTGCATTGAATACTTTAATGTCAATCAATCAAACTATTTTCTGCATCTGATTCTTCTCCCCTTATTATTGGTAGAATATATGTTGAGAAAACACATCAACATGGAAATCGACCTTTAAAAACAAAATATTGTTTTTTCGAATGTATTGCAAGATATTAGTTTGATTATACTGTGTCTTCCCTCAAACCCGAATGTTACCAGTATACAGACATAATTTTCGAAGACAATTTTCTGTTATGGCCAATATATGTTAATTGAATTGTTGAGGAATCATCATTACTACGCAGAACTGAGAATGGCTTCTCACATTTAACATTATTCTTAATCAAGGCTTGTAAAAAACGTCATTCCTGTCTTGAAAACTCTGGGAAACGTTGGTAATATGCATTTTCAAGTGACTGACGATGACATTATCAACATGTTTTTTCCTGATGCATTTGAAAGATCTGCGTTAATCACTGTCAATTAACTCTATATCTAAATTAAGCTGAACTTCATAAATACAGTACAATTCCAAACTACCAAATGATTGCAGAAGTTTTACACCATTCCAATTCAAACAAAGAAGAAGGATTGATTCTATTGCGAATTGGAGTACCTTAGGATTTTAGAAAAGAGAGACTTTCGAATAAACCGTCAAAAAATAGTTTTGAAACTCATTCTAATTTTTCCACTGGATTTAAAAATTGGAGGTAGAAGCTCACTACGCAGGTATCTGAATGAGTGATCTCACTCATTCAGACTCAGAATAGAAACATTTCTTCCGTCAGTTACAGTTGAAAGGTCACGAGATTCCCTGAATGAACAGTACAGAAACTTCAACGTTATTTGATGGTTACCTCACTTGAGGATATTGTGCTTGATACAGTACAGTACTCACAAATAAATGCCACATAGAGTAGCATGTGGAATCCGGCATTGCTCCAGTCGTAGTTTCGCATTCCATTCTTGTCGCTCAACAACAGAATGGTTTCTGCTGTTCTCTCGTCACCAACCAGCTTCTTCTCATTCAGAAACTTCACGGGAAATTCAGCATCACTCCGGATACGACCCGCGAGGAATGAACCCACCAACCCGTACTCTTCTTCGACGAAACTGTGCAAACATATTTGTAATTTTATTATAATTCGTGAATTGAATATTGAAATTTTCACTTACCGAGCGTAGATAAGTTTACAAAGCTGCATTCCCAGCTACTTTTCAAACGGCAGCCCCACGGTTCGAGACAGGTTGCGCAGCTAATGAAAAAGATACGACTTGAAGGGCAGTAGGCACAGTAAAACATTGTGTCCTCCCATTATTATTTTTTTTATACCAAGAATGTGGTTTCTACAGTTATTTACGCCGGAATGACGGGAAAAACTTGCAGTTCGATCATAAAAATTACTTCCAGTTTTCTGAAAATTCCACAAGTTTGGCCAGTCAAAAAAATTTTTCTGGGCGTCTGAAAAAGAAATAAATTCGTCATGCAGCACGGAAAAAATTTTTCTCTCATGCGAAACGACGATTGTGCACTTTTTGCAGTTGACAAAAAAAAATCGTACGTCATTCAACAGGGATGATTTTTCGAAGACGCATCGTTACTTCGCAGAATTTGAAAAATTCCTACACATATTCAAAGAATTCCCTTTGAAAATTGACAGGACTTTCACTGAAGATGTACAAGCTCACATGATTTGATGTACCAAATTCGTCCTTGACAAATTAAATTCTATTATTTGCTCCCTTTTTATTTGCTGACTTTGTCGACCCTTGCTATATTTGTTTTAAGATGATACCTGTAAGCAGTCCGCATAAACTTCTAATACTTCAATGTGAAATATAGTAATATACCTCATTTGATGGTCAATTGAATGGTTTGTTCAAATATTGAGTCCATCATTCTCATATTTTGGAGTCACACAAAGCAAAATTTTGATAAATTTAATGAATTGCCGGCGTTCTGCTAAGAGGGATAATTAAGTCCATCCAAAGAATGCAATTTCTTCACTTTCATGTATTTTCGTTTTGCGGAGGAATGAAATAAAAAATTAAAAACCATTTTTTATTGCCGCAGACAATCCAAATACAAGGGGAGAATATTGAAGTGTCTGATCTGTAAAGCAATCATTTTTCAAATTGCAGCCTGTTGGAATAATTGGCCGAACCCGCGTTATGAAGAAAATTCGTTAGTTCGAGGAGTTGTCCGAGTTGGAGAAAGAGGAAGAAGGGTTGTCGAGGTCGTTCAAATCTGCAGAAGTCCCAGTGTGAATTAAATGATGACACCCTATCTTCTCCATGAGCTTGATCATGTGCTGCTGAATCTTTTTGCTGTATGTGAGAATATCGGCGATCGTGTTTCCCGGGAAAATGGCTTCGTTCTCGAAGTAATGTTCCTTCCAATACTCCTTGCCGGCATAAAGCCGCAACATTGCTTGAACGGGCTTTCGAATGTACCAGGGCTCTAACTTCCCGAGTGTCACTTCGTAACAATCAGCAATGAAGTTCCTGCCTGGTAAATCCGGTTTTTCGTAGCCATCCAAAATCAGCACCACGTAAGCTGCAGAACAAGAAGAATAGAGTGAGACCCTTCAGATGTGGACATAATTGGTGNCTTACCTTACCAAATTCCCTTCACTGTCCCAATAAAAAACTCCCAGCCCTCCCAAAAATGGGACAGATACAAGCTCCGTATATAGCCCGCTAAATGTCTGACGCTGGGGGGATCCTTACGGGGGAAGTGGTTCAATATTCGCAGTGAAGGGAATTTGGTAAGGTAAGTAGTAACATTCCCCAGGCTAACGGTGCCCTTGCCTGGGGGTTTTTGTTTTTTCGAATGTATTGCAAGATATTAGTTTGATTATACTGTGTCTTCCCTCAAACCCGAATGTTACCAGTATACAGACATATTTTCGAAGACAATTTTCTGTTATGGTTATGGCCAATATCTGTTAATTGAATTGTTAAGGAATCCTCATTGCTACGCAGAACTGATAAGAATGGCTTCTCACATTTAACATTATTCCTAATATATCAAGGCATGTAAAAAACGCCATTCCTGTCTTGAAAGCTCTGGAAAATGTTGATAATATGCATTTTCAAGTGACTGACGATGACATTATTAACATGTTTTCTTTTCCTGATGCATTTGAAAGATCTGCGTTAATCACTGTCAATTAACTCTATATTTCTAAATTAAGCTGAACTTCATAAATACAGTACAATTCCAAACTACCAAATGATTGCAGAAGTTTTACACCATTCCAATTCAAACAAAGAAGAAGGATTGATTCTATTGCTAATTGGAGTACCTTAGGATTTTAGAAAAGAGAGACTTTCGAATACACCGTCAAAAATAGTTTTGAAACTCATTCTAAATTTTCCACTGGATTTAAAAATTGGAGATAGAAGCTCACTACAGGTATCTGAATGAGTGATCTCACTCATTCAGACTCAGAATAGAAGCATTTCTTCTGTCAGTTACAGTTGAAAGGTCACGAGATTCCCTGAATGAACAGTTCAGAAACTTCAGCGTTCGACAGTTACTACCTCACTAACTACCTCACTTGAGAATTTTGTATATGAAACAGTACAGCACTCACAAATAAATGCCACGTAGAGTAGCATGTGGAATCCGGCATTGTTCCAGTCGTAGTTTCGCATTCCGTTCTTGTCACTCAACAACAGAATGGTTTCTGCTGTTCTCTCGTCACCAACCAGCTTCTTCTCATTCAGAAACTTCACGGGAAATTCAGCATCACTCCGGATACGACCTGCGAGGAATGAACCCACCAACCCGTACTCTTCTTCGACAAAACTGTGCAAACATATTTGTAATTTTATTATAATTCGTGAATTGAATATTGAAATTTTCACTTACCGAGCGTAATATTCAAATGTTTCGACGTAAGGGTCGATGAAAAGTTTGCCGTCGGGGTGCCAAGCTCTGTCCAACGCGTCGATTACTTTTTCTATGCTGAACTTCCCGTCATCCGTGTCATTTTGTAACACAGGAGCCATTACTTTTATCAATAAAACGGGTTTGTACAGTTATTTACGCTGAAATGACGAGATAAACTTGCAGTTCGATCATAAAAATCCCTCCCAGTTTTCCAAAAATTCTACAAGTTTGGCCAGTCAAAAAAATTTTCTGGGCGTCTGAAAAAGAAATCAATTCGTCATGCAGCACGGAAAAAATTTTTCTCTCATGCGAAACGACGATTGTGCACTTTTTGCAGTTGACAAAAAAAAAATCGTACGTCATTCAACAGGGATGATTTTTCGAAGACGCATCGTTACCTCGCAGAATTTGAAAAATTCCTACGCATATTCAAAGAATTTCCCTTTGAAAATTGACAGGACTTTCACTGAAGATGTACAAGCTCACATGATTTGATGTACCAAATTCGTCCTTGACAAATTAAATTCTATTATTTGCTCCCTTTTTATTTGCTGACTTTGTCGACCCTTGCTATATTTGTTTTAAGATGATACCTGTAAGCAGTCCGCATAAACTTCTAATACTTCAATGTGAAATATAGTAATATACCTCATTTGATGGTCAATTGAATGGTTTGTTCAAATATTGAGTCCATCATTCTCATATTTTGGAGTCACACAAAGCAAAATTTTGATAAATTTAATGAATTGCCGGCGTTCTGCTAAGAGGGATAATTAAGTCCATCCAAAGAATTCAATTTCGTCATTTTCATGTATTTTCGTTTTGCGGAGGAATGAAATAAAAAATTATAAACCATTTTTTATTGCCGCAGACAATCCAAATACAAGGGGAGAATATTGAAGTGTCTGATCTGTAAAGCAATCATTTTTCAAATTGCAGCCTGTTGGAATAATTGGCCGAACCCGCGTTATGAAGAAAATTCGTTAGTTCGAGGAGTTGTCCGAGTTGGAGAAAGAGGAAGAAGGGTTGTCGAGGTCGTTCAAATCTGCAGAAGTCCCAGTGTGAATTAAATGATGACACCCTATCTTCTCCATGAGCTTGATCATGTGCTGCTGAATCTTTTTGCTGTATGTGAGAATATCGGCGATCGTGTTTCCCGGGAAAATGGCTTCGTTCTCGAAGTAATGTTCCTTCCAATACTCCTTGCCGGCATAAAGCCGCAACATTGCCTGAACGGGCTTTCGAATGTACCAGGGCTCTAACTTCCCGAGTGTCACTTCGTAACAATCAGCAATGAAGTTCCTGCCTGGTAAATCCGGCTTTTCGTAGCCATCCAAAATCAGCACCACGTAAGCTGCAGAACAAGAAGAATACAGTGAGACCCTTCAGATGTGGACATAATTGGTGTATCAAGAGTGTCCCTAAGTTGAGTCTTGTTTTCCCATAGACATACATTATATAATTTTTAATTGGCGTTTTATGGAAGAATTATTCTTCAGAATTCCATGAAAAAAATTGTGTTCGCCTCTTGAATTTGATTCAGTGAGTATATTTTCAACCCAATAAGAACATTTGGCGCATTGAATAGTATACCACTCTACAGTTCATTGAAATGTTGGCATTGGTAAAAAATAACATCCAAGTCACAAAAAGAGAAGGAAGTCCCTCTGTGCTACAGGTATTTTTTTAATTTGCTGAACGGATGGGAAAGTGATGGGAAAGGTACCAAATAATTTGTCTTGCATAGATTTTAGGGATGGAAATATTGTATCTGTTTCTTGCAATTATGCCTAATAAAAGTCAAATTTCCTAAAATGTATTTGCAATTTTATCATGCAATGTCCTCATGTCCAGTCAGTCATACAGTAATTATAATAAATTTTGGACCTATGTTGGGCATTTTTTTTTTAATTGAAAAATAAATGTCCCTATGTCGAATTGTCCCCATGTCGAGGTGTCCGCGTGTGGGGGTCTCAGTGTACGTGAAAATTTCAAGAACTGAGCAGAGAAATCGCAAACGTGCGACTTACTTCAAACTGAGCTCATCAAAAATGATTCAGAATACGAGTTCAACTTACAAATCAACGCGGAAACTTCGATTGAATACTGAAGCATACACAAATATTTTTTTTCGCACAATTTTTTCATAAGCAATTTCCAAGGATTTTATATTGTTCCGCAGTAGTTTGATATTAAAGATTGGGGCCAATCTATGATCTTATATTTTTCTGTGTAAAAAAGATACAAATTAATTCGTAATCAAAGTTGAATTGCTCTCAAAAAGGAGCAGTTTTTGTGAAGATGCTCAACAAAAGCTCGTTTTCAATTCCGCCAACCTTCAGTTGCTCGTTCATGCATTGATATTACTTGCATATTTTACAGTCACTTATTATAAATTTTGTGATCATTTAATCAATCAATGTGGGCTCGAACTTCACAGAAAAATGTCTCTACATTCAAAACTCGAAGCAACTCAAACGTGTAAGAATCAAATTTACTTCTCATTCAGTGATCAGATTAAAAGCAGGTATGGTAAAATTTAATACTCTAGCAAAATCTACTTCAAATTCCTGAAAAATTTCAAACACAAGCGGGATATATTGATTCATGCTACAGTAATGTCAGTAAAACACTCTTCTGTGAACTGCCACGAAAACTAATTTGAGGCAAGTATTGAATAAGTATCGGAGCTTTAAAAGTTATGGTATTGCAAATGTGAGTTTCAACTCTAAAATATGATGCATTGCAATACCCACATCAGCGTCCTTTTTCCGTGTTTTTCAACCTTGTTGAAATTTTTCTAGGAAAGGATCAAAAGTTCAGCCATATTCAATCCTCTTATGAACTACTCTGAACGGATCGGTGGTACTTATTAAGGTCACAATGATCAGGGTGATCGTTGATCCCATTTATTCCCGGGTATTTGATCATTGATCCCTGATCCTTCGAATGCACTACAGCAGAGAGGAAAGTAATGCTCTTACAGATGATCGAGAACAACTCACAGAAGAAGGATAGTAAGACGGCGAGGCGATGGCAAAGTTCGGTGTGAAACTTGGCGTCGTTCTTGTTCTCAGACGTCAACGTCAGTAAATTTTCAGCGGTTTGTTCGTCTTCTTTTGTCTTTCCATACCTTTCGAGTGCTTCCAAGTAAAACGCAGTATCTTTTCTCACTCGATGCGTCACGATCTTGCCAACGAGGCCATATTCGTCTTCGATGAACCTTTTTGAAATGCAGGGAGGAAAAAACAAATTAACTTTCTGTTTAATGCACGAAAATCAATTTTGTTTTCATGCTCACCGGCAGTATTCTTCAAACATGGCTGCGTTCTCACTCATGCTCAGCTTTTCATCAGAAGTCACCATATTTTTGTAATGCGATACCAAATCTACCGCGTTGAACTTGGTCTTGTGTTTCGGCTGCTTCGGAGACATCTTCTATAGTTGGTGTCTTTAAAAGTTCACTGATTACCGAAAAGTTCACGAATACGAATAGATATGTTTTGAAGCAAACATATTTATATTCCCACTGTTGGATACTGCGGAGTGTTTCAAAGAACACGTCGATTCTCGCTGGCAGAAAAATCGTGCTCTTTCAAACGCGGCGTTCAGTTAAATTTGCCGAGTCATTCTCGATATGCCTGCTGGAGGACGTTATTTTTAAGGATAGGAAAATCCCGAATGAAATGCAAAATAAAAAGAAGTACGTATTTTTCTGTCGCCAGCTAAGTTTAATTTCAATCAATTCTGCCAGCTTTCACTTGGTCATTTATGCTTGAATTTTGAATCTACGTCCTTCTGGCGTGTCACAAAACGNGCGGAGTGTTTCAAAGAACACGTCGATTCTCGCTGGCAGAAAAATCGTGCTCTTTCAAACGCGGCGTTCAGTTGAATTTGCCGAGTCATTCTCGATATGCCTGCTGGAGGACGTTATTTTTAAGGATAGGAAAATCCCGAATGAAATGCAAAATAAAAAGAAGTACGTATTTTTCTGTCGCCAGCTAAGTTTAATTTCAATCAATTCTGCCAGCTTTCACTTGGTCATTTATGCTTGAATTTTGAATCTACGTCCTTCTGGCGTGTCACAAAACGCCTTCGGTTATTCCCGATTTTTTTTTGAACATTTTGATGCAAATCTCTGTGAAGTAAATCAAAAAAGTAAGATCTAAGGTTCGGTTCAAAAACATCTCGACGCATTCAGACGTGACAAACTTTGTGCCTTGGAGCCAAGTTGGAATTAACTGAAAGTACTTTCATGTGTGTGTCTCTCTCTCTCTAGAGGACAAACGGAATTTTATAAATCGCCGCGGGTTTTCTTCGAGCTGGTGATTAAATGTTTCCTCTGTTCATAACGTACACTAGTGGTCTAGAACTCTAGATGCTTGTGCCCTTGAGGGCATTTGCATTCCCGTCGCGTTGGGAAAGGTTTGTGGTTATTCACAGCCCGCGGGGGTCGGTCCTTTGGGAAATAATGTATTCAAATATGCACATGTCGTTCTTCCAAAAATTTTCTTTTAACTTGAAGACATTTTTTTAGATTGCAGATTTAATTTTTCCCATGCCAGGAACATTCCAGGACCAGAGTAGAACCATAATTACATAAACGTGTATCGAAGACTGCAATTCACAGTATTTCATATTTGATCTAAAATTAAATAAAGTTATCAATCAGTATTATTCCTATACTTGGAAATATTCAACATGATCGACTATTTTGAACACATTCTAACTGAACTGAGTGTGGGGAACATGCATCGAAATTAGCTTTTCTCAATTTCATTTGTCATCTGCTGCGTCATTTTCGTTTTATTCATAAACAATAATTATCGAGGAAAATATAATCATTACTTTGTTTTTCACGCATCGGAAAATTTCTTATTTCAGGCGCTAGATCATGAAAATAATTTTCGTCTGGAAGCAGAACAAATGTCTCACGATGATCGTGCACAAATAATAATTACTAGTGATCAATTGTATCTGGAATCCTTAATTTACTTCAATTACAATCACAATGCACTTTTAGCGCTGGAATAAAAAAATTGTTGTTAGAAACTTGGAATTGTTTGATCAGCAAATACTGTTCTGTACTTTCAGTATTCCTCAGAGCTATAAATAAGTCGGTATAGATTCAGCAGCTGAATTTGCTGAACCTGGGAATCCATCGCATTGCCTGGTTTTGGATCGAACACAGTTCTCACTTTGTTCGTAATTTTGGCTCGATCATGATTTTTTCGTCTTTGGCATTTTTGCAATACTGCGAATGCGCTGCGTATAGGATAATACGGGGAGTTGGAATATTTTCGGTCGATTCCAGCCGATTAAGTAGTATTTAGTCAATTTTACACAAATATCCTTTTTTTTTAATCTCAATGCTGAAACAGGCATACATCCGTAAATATCATTGAATAATGTGAAATCCTGTCAATTCGTTCCCAACTCGAAGACATCACACAAGTTGCAATTCAAATGGCAGCGAGTGACATCTACGTACGCGAATCAAAAAGCTTCGGGGATAAAATATAACTAAATCTCTCATTCATTCATTGATTTCAAGGCATGAGCTTCAAATCGAATTTCAAAGTACAAGTGACGTCCGAGCAAAACAGAGATCCATGTACAGCCTGATAATGTGGAATCGGCAGAATTAGCAAACAAAAAAATGCGATTGCATATGAAACACCGCTCGAAGGAGCATGTCGTCAAGTACAGTGAAGTGGATGACGTCGATACAGCAGCAGTCTGCGAGACTTCTCCGAAGGACGGTGGAAATGCAACCCGCAAGAGACGAAGGAAGAAGAAATCGAAAGAAAGAAGTGGGAAAGATGCAGTACGACGAAAGAAGAAGAGAGGGGTTGCACAGGAACAAGAACAGGATTTACAGTGCAGTATATTCCTGAATATCCCAAGCCCAGAACCCCCGTCCTGCTCACACTATCCGGGATGCTGCTCAAGAATCTATTGTCCGTGCCGAATATCCCCGGTCTTTCCCTGTCCTTTTCTTCGTTTGGATTCCGCTGGTATACTCGTATCTGTCCTTCTCCCCCCCCCCCCTCTGCTGCTTTTCAGCGTCTTTTTTTTTTTGCTGACACACATGCGTTCATTACGCTCGACAGTCGCTCGTAGCCCTTCCCCACAGCAGCTGCCGAATGACTTCTTTTCCCGTCCTGCGAAACTCAGCCCATCTGCAACTAAATACAAGCTGAAATAATTTTTTGGGGGGATTAAGATAAATAACTCCTGGCTGAGCCCTAAGATGTGGAGCAGATAGGAATTTCCTTCCGTCTTGCTTTGAATACCGAGCCTTGAGAAAGAATATAATAGAGACCCGTGACATTTTATGCATTTTTTTCCTCCTTAGAAGTACGGATGAGCCTCGTTAGGAGGATTTGCCCCGACATTCTAATCAAAGCAAACTTCGGAATCCTTTCCTGGCGACCAGAGGTGAATGATGAACCCAGTAAGATGGAAAATCGGAAAGTTGTGCATCCACTCGCATAGAAATTCAAAGACGTGATTATAGGGACTCATGAGGACATATAATAATTCAATTTTTGTCAAGTAGGATAAATGCAGTTTGCAGATGAAGGTAAACAAAAAATATCGACATCATCGCATCAGAAGCAAGCACTTCGCAGCTTCATGGCGACAAGTAGGACATTTCGGTAAACTCCGGAAATAAAACTCTTTGCTGATACTTGGGAAATTGCGGGGAATTGCGTAAATCTTTATGACAAAACTTACAGAACGTCAGAATGACAAGAGTAGGAAAAGAAAAACATTCTTCACTTGAGCTTTTACCCTCTGCTGCTTTTCAGCGTCTTTTTTTTTTTTTTGCTGACACACATGCGTTCATTACGCTCGACAGTCGCTCGTAGCCCTTCCTCACAGCAGCAGCTGCAGACTGACTTCTTTTCCCGTCCTGCGAAACTCGGCCCATCTGCAGCTAAATACAAGCTGAAATAATTTTTTGGGTGGATTAAGATAAATAACTCCTGGCTGAGCCCTAAGATGTGGAGCAGATAGGAATTTCCTTCCGTCTTGCTTTGAATACCGAGCCTATTGAGAAAGAATATAATGGAGACCCGTGACATTTTATGCATTTTTTTCCTCCTTAGAAGTACGGATGAGCCTCGTTAGGAGGATTTGCCCCGACATTCTAATCAAAGCAAACTTCGGAATCCTTTCCTGGCGACCTGAGGTGAATGATGAACCCAGTGAGATGGAAAATCGGAAAGTTGTGCATCCACTCGCATAGAAATTCAAAGACGTGATTATAGGGACTCATGAGGACATACAATAATTCAATTTTTGTCAAGTAGGATAAATGCAGTCTGCAGATGAAGGTAAACAAAAAATATCGACATCATCGCATCAGAAGCAAGCACTTCGCAGCTTCATGGCGACAAGTAGGACATTTCGGTAAACGCCGGAAATAAAACTCTTTGCTGATACTTGGGAAATTGCGGGGAATTGCGTAAATCTTTATGACAAAACTTACAGAACGTCAGAATGACAAGAGTAGGAAAAGAAAAACATTCTTCACTTGAGCTTTTTGTTATTTTTCTGGGTTATTTTTCTTGGAACTTGCCTGAAAAGGCGAGAAAGTTCGCTCCTACTCTTCCGCGCATTCATCGAGTACTTGTTTGGATGATGTCAAGATTTATTTGTCCAAATTTTGAAAAAAATACAGTGCAAAAACTTATCTGATTGGGCATAACAAAAAGTAAATTATGTCACTTTTGTCAACAGGAAGACATTTGTTTTCTCGTTCAGAGTGGACGGATTTGTTCCATCGTCCCCTGGATGATCGAACGAAACATCGTGTCTTGACAGGGAAATCAAATCAAATCTGCTTGTGAATGGTTGTTTCAAATAATAATCATCAAACGGATAATTGCATGCTGTAGTGTAAATAACGTTTGCTGTGAAAATCGTTTCGTGAATATGAATTTGGGTCATTGGGGTAATTATTCATAGCAGCAATGAATTGCAGTCGTTCTATATAGACGCGAGTCAAAAGAAAATGAACAGTACCGTTTCTATTGCCATGTACTCGTATACTTTCCAGAGGCTATTATGATCTCGTATATGAGTATAACTGTATACACTTGAAAATGCATTTCCTCTTTTATACACTTCCACTTTGTATAGATCTGAATACCATCCTTACGTGGTTTACCTGCTCAGAAATCCCCACATGTTTTGTTTGCTTATAGTATTATACAGACACGTGAATCACTGTATTCTTCCTCGTTATGATGCACTGTTCAATTTAGCTTTTCGGTGTAACCTTTTTTTCGGGTGATACCATCGATTTGTTTTGAATTCTTTGCAGGCAATTTTAGAATCTCCGAGAAGTCATCGCCCATTTCTTTCTTCTCCGCCAGGATTTGCGATATAGGTGCAGAAAATTGCTCCTTCAAGCACCAACATCGTTAAGCTTGTGGAAAAGTCTCGGAAATCCAGCGGGGTTTGCTTGAATGCTCGAGGATTAGGAGCCATAGCAAAGGATTTCTTTCCATCACTCGCATTTGAGTTCTCTTGGAGTTTTGCCATGCAAGTCACGGCCGCGAT